CTCCCGGGCAAGCTCCCGGGAGCCTCCAGCGTGGTCCCGGGAAGAGGGGGTGAGCTGGGGGACATCGGGTGGGTGGCTCTTTGCCGTGCCAGGTGCAGGGTCTACTGGCTGGGTGCTGGCAGGCTTGCACCTGGCACGGGCACCGTAGTCAGCCCGTGCCCCTTTAAGGGCTCCGGGGCCGGGAGGGGGGCAGACGAGTTTCCCTGGTGGTGCCCGGAGTGGCCATCAGGGAAAGCTGGGAAGGCCTAGCCTCCCACTAGTTTGAATTAAGTGGCTACACAGCCCTTAATTCAAACTACTTAATTCGAACTGGGCATTTGTCCTCGTGGAATGAGGTTTACCTAGTTCGAATTAAGCACTCCACTAGTTCGAATTAAGTTCGAACTAGCGATTTGCCTGTGTAGCGCCTATCAAAGTTAATTCAAACTAACGTCTGTTAGTTCCAATTAACTTTGTAGTGTAGACATACCCCCATTTCCCACCCAGGCTCAGGATTATGCCAGGTCTGGCTAGTAACAGTTGGCTGCTTTGGAGTGGTCACACTGCAGCACACATCCCCGTCCCACCCCAGCCAGCTCCCCACGCCCTAGTGAGCACACGCTGGGTGCGGCAGCCAGGGGAGGAGTGGCACGGCTGGGGTGGGGGTTGGAGGGTTACTGAAGCGGGTGTGACATGCTGGGAGCTCTCAGTCCAACCCAGAGCACCTCCTCCGTATGGTGTCCCTCACCCACCGGACGGCTTTGCAGACTTTGGCGTAGACGCCAGGCTCTGACAGCCTCTTCCGTATGGTGTTCTTCACCCACTCGGCAGCTTTGCAGACGTTGGCGTAGACCCCAGGCTGTCCAGGCAGGCCACAGATTTTCCCCCCCCAGGAGACCACACCCTGCAGCCTCCCGTTGCAGACCAGCGGGCCTCCTGAATCGCCCTGCGGAGACAATGCCAAGCGTCAGCAACCACAACCGCACCCCAGACACGGGGACTCATTCCCTCCACAGGGGGCACGCACACAGAGCAGACTCCTACCTTCCAGCAGGGGGCGGCAGGGTCACACCGGCACTAAGCATGCTAAGGAGCGGTCATTGGGCTAGTCATGTAGTCGATACAATTGTATTGACTATGCGATTAGCGGATAAGGGCCGCTCTACAGAGCCACCACGGGGGTGGTTCCCCGAGCTGGCGTGAGCCCGGACTGAGCAGTCCTGGCTTGTGCCAGCTCCAGAGTGCTGAGCATCTGCCTGTGAAATGCCGTTGGGCCCTGGCCACATTTAAATGCAGAGTCACAGCATGGGTGGTTCCTGG